AAATAAAACCTCACATCTACAGCCAAATGGTTCTTTACTAAGGAACCAGAAATATACATTGGAGAAAGAACAGCCTCTTCCATAAATAATGCTGGGGAAATTGAATATTTACATGCAGAAGGCTAAACCTTGACCCACATCTCTCACTCTTTGCAAAAACTGACTCAGAATGTATTAAAGAACTTGATGTAAGACCCAAACCTCCAAAACTACTAAAAGAAAACATAGGAAAAACATTTCAAAACATTGATACAGGCAGTGATTTTCTGGATAGGACCCCAAAAGTTCAGCAACAATTGACAAATGAGATTACATTGAACTAAAAAGCCTCCGCACAGCAAAGGAAACAACGGAGGGAAGAGACGACGTACAGGATGTGAGACTGTATTTCCCAGCTATTCATCTGACAAATCTGATTAATATCCACAATATATAAAGAACTCAAAATAGCAATAAGAAAGAGAAGTAATCCAGTTTTTAAAATGGGCAGCCAGGCACCATGGTGTGCACTTTTAGTCCCAGCTGCTCAGGAGACTGAGGTAGGAGGATGTCCTGAGCCCAGGAGTAAGAGGCCAGCCTGGGAAATATAGTAACAAATTCATTCATTCTCATTCATTCACCCACCCCCCCACACACACATAGCAGATGATCTAAATAGATACTTCTCAAAAGAAGAAATACAAGCAGTCAACAAATACATGAAAAAAATGCTCAATATCACAGTATCATTCATCATCAGAGAAATGCAGATCAAAACTGGAATGGGATACCATCTCACCCCAGTTAAAAGGGTTGTTATCAAAAAACAAAACAAAATGCTGGCAAGGAAATGGGGTAAAAGGAACACTTATACATTGTTGGTGGGAATGTAAATTAGTAAAATTAGTATAGCCATTATGGAGAATAGTATGGATGGTCCTCAAAAGCTAAAATTAGATCTACCATATGATCCAGCAATTCCACTCCAAGGTATGTATTCAAAGGAAGTGAATTCAGCATACCAAAGAAATACCTACACACTCACATTTATTGTGGTATAATTCATATTAGCTAAGATATGAAATCAGCCTTGGTGCCATCAACACGTGAATTAATAAAGAAAATATGGTGTGTGTGTATGTGTGTGTGCACACACACACACACATACAAAATGGAGTATTATTCAGCCATAAAGAAGAATGAAATCTTGTCATTACAGCAAAATGGGTACATTCAGAGGATATTATGTTAAGTGAAATAAGCCAGACACAGAAAGACATATACTACATGGTCTCTCTCATATGTGAAAGCTTAAAAAAAAAAAAAAGTCACCTGAAAGTAGAATAGTGATTACTAGAGACTGGGAAGGGGAGGATGGAAGAAAAGGGGTTGGTTGTGATCAGTGCATGCTGTTTGCATGTATGAAAATACCATGCTGAACATCTTTTCCAAAATGGTTCTGCCCCAAGATTGTGTTCACTTTGCTTCACCAGCAGTTCCCATAATTACTTGGACACAGAATACCTCATCACTGTGTCTGTCACCTGCTAATGTTTTCTTACTCATGCTCTCTGCAAGATGTTTTGGAGAAACTTCTGGAGAGAACTTTGCCCTACATCCTGTCTCTCAGGTGGCCCAGGGTAGATTCACACCTCTCCCAACACAGTAAGGGCATCTGGTACTGTCGGGAGAGTACCGAACTTGAAACCTGTGCAGCCAGCTCACCTGTCCTTTCTCTCCTCACTGTCTGCATTCCACCCTCATTCCACCTCATTCCCTCCTCTTCAGCAGGAAGACAGGGTGGCCTGCTGAGCCCCACTGAGCCAGAGAGACAGGTGCATGTCCAGTGGGGTGCCTCTATCTCCATTCTTGCTGTATCTGTGAAGCTCATGGAACCAGATCACAAGTGGTGTTGACATATTTTGTGGCATGTGTGCTTTTTCTAAGGAACATTCATTATTCTTATATCTGTCTTTACCAGCCTGTCCCAGAAATCAGATTTTTTCTCATTCTTTTATGATTTCCTTTAAATGTCAAAGCTTATGATTTCATTGTAGAATTAAATTTTCTATCATTGTAGCTTTGTCTGAGTCATGTCGTCTCCCATGTTGCTTGAAGAGGACTGTGATCAATAAAGAGGATACTGACACTTACATTAGGCCCTTTGTATACATTATCTGGTGGAGGGGGGTGGGGAATCCTGACAGGTTGGTATTTATTATTAGCTCCATGATACAGGCAAGCCAAGAAGTTCTCAGAAGAGAAGCTTGCCCAGGCTGCACAACCAGTGGTGTAGAGTGTAATGTGAGACTACCTGGCTTGGAATCTGTTCTGCCACTTCACAGAACAGTTATGTGATGTTGGGCCAATTAATTAGCCTCTCTGTGCCTCATTTTCCTCTTCTGAAAAGTGTGGATATGTAGCACCTGCCTCATAGGATGGTTGCAAGCTTTTACATGTGAAATGCTTAGAAGGCTCCTGGCACTTCTAAGTACTTAGTAGATGTTGGCTAGAAAAAGAAAAGAGAACAGCAGGGAGCACCCGGATGTGGCTAACCTTAAGTGCAGAACAGCCTCAGTGCACATTGTACATGGAGTAAGTGGATGGCTCCAYGGTCTGTTTTATGTGCCACCGCCCAGGCTCATAAACCACAAAACATGAGGACTAAAATGGATGTGGACAGTGTTGGTTTAATAATGCATGCTGGCTTAATATTTCTCCTGAACCTCTTTCTGATACTGTAATTTCTCATCCTGGCCCTGACTCCATTTTTTTATTATAATTTGTTGCAGGACACTTAGAATAATCAATGACTTATCATATCCAAGTGCATAAAATATTCTTAACTTCATAAAAATTAGTTCTGCAGACTTTTCATGAAACTCAGGTTTTGATCTTCTTATCACCCATTTCAGGAAAGAAACAATTTAGGTTTTCCATGGGTGGTGATCTATTTTCCTTTGAAAGAGTTCTTTCAAGGCATGGTTCTCTGGAGATAGAGAATTTTGACCAACTGTTCTTGGGTCTCTGGTATCAAAAGCAGTAGAAATTCCTGTATCATTGCCATCTCACTCCAGGAATGGTGGCAGAGTGTAAATGTTTGGATCCCACAGCTGTCATTTATCATGCAGATTACAACTGAGGCAGTTCAGAACATCCCAGGCAGGACTCTCATATTTTACATTGGAATATGTGTGACATGGAGTAGCATCAGCTTAGGACAGTTTTCAGATACAGAAATAGTACCACCATAATGGCCAGCAGTTAGGATAATGTGTGGCTGCTGCCTTCAGGGTTTTCCAGAGCAGACAGCTCACCCTGAACTTATAACGCTAGGAAGAGCTGTGGGGTGGCTGAGCAGGAGTGGGATTTTCCTAGTTTCCTGAGTGCACCAGAGAGTAGCTGTTTGGTATTTGGATGGCTGACTCATCCAGTTTCTCTAAAATGAGTTAGTACAGGCAACACACTTTAGACATTAGTGGAACAGAAATACTACTGAGCAGAGGAGCTTTTCCACCAGGTGAGTACCAAGGAGTCCGAGAGCTCAGCTTTTCCTCCACCCCACCCCATCACCAAACCAGCATCCACAGTTTGGCCATTGACTCACCATTATTTGTACAAGATCTGTATATATATACATATATGCATCTATATATATATCAAGCCTTGCCAAGAGCCAGGAGCCAAGAAATTGCACTCTGACATAGATTAATTATAATCATCTGCAGACACAAAGTACTTAGTGCACTGTTGAAAGAGTTTGCAAATATTCATTCTGTCCTCAAAAAAAAAAA